ATATTGCGTATACGCAACGTTGTGCGCGAAGCTATTGTCAAACAACCAAAAACCGAAAAAGGGGTTGCTCGGCAGTTTTACCATATTTTCTTGTTGTTTGTTGTTGTTGTTGGCAACAATTCACAATGGGGAAATGAATGAAAGCAACTTTCAAGTGGGCATTGCGTAATCGAATGCGAAGCCATCAAAGATGACGACGACTTGAAGACAATGTCATTCATTCATATATATCCTGTAATAGCCCCTAAAAAGTGGCATATTGAACGCCAAGAAAGTAGGAAGATGTTTAAATAACATATGTATCTATATCTATCTATAAAAGATGGTATGCGGATGAGATGTTCTAAGATCTGAGATCTTCTAAACATAGCTCAAGTGCTGTACAGGGTATTCTTTAGGCTATAAGAGCCCATGTTTCCTATGCAAAAACAAAATACAGAAAGAAGAACGCGAGTTAATCAATAGAATTGAGAAAATCAATGGACAGGCAAAAGACAGCTAAAAAATTGTTGATTCAAATATAAACCGAACCTGAAGGTGCCTGAATTATTGGAAAAGTAATTTGGTGAGCAGGCGAGTGGGGGAAGGGGGGAGCGGGCGGATTTATCGCACTATTTATCAGGCAGAGAAAAAGAGCTATGCAAAAGCCCATTGATTGACCTTAAGGACACTCACAACATGACATTGAGTATTGTTGTTGTTGTTGTTGTTTTCTTTCTACTTCTATTTTTGTGGGCAGCCTCAAGTTGTGCTGGGTTCACTTTGCTGTTAGTTGGCGAAAAACTAGATTTCGGGGCGTGTTTTGTTGGATAAACATCGCATGCTATGCACATATATTTTAGGGTGGTTTCCTTTTGGGGCCAGGGGATGGGGTTATATGCTGATTTTTATGGGCTCGGCGAACATGTTAATGATAGACATTACAACTGTCGAATCTGTGCATTTTTGGGCAACAAAGGAACTTCTGGCAAAATAATCGATTTCAGAGTGCGAATAGATACAGATATGATATGTAAAGATTGAAGTGCCAAATACTTCAAGGCACATGATTCACATGAACCGAACTAGTTCATGTGGAACACAAATGTGATATAAGAACTTGCGTGAAATAAACTTATAATCGAAGCATGTGATAAGAAAAGTTCCCGTGGATTATGTCCAGGGCTGAGGCGTAAATTTATGATCGCAGAACTAATTCAACTAGTTCAGTTCAACAGAAGAATAATGTTAACTTAATATTGCGAATGAAAGTTATATCTTTCCAAAGAAATCAAAAAGCTAATATACTAAATAATTTGAAGTTCTTTTTTCGAACATTCCATTATTCTATTACTTATTCCAAAGAACTAGTTCTACTCAAATCAACTCTGTTTTTGTAAATACTAAAAAACAGTGTAGATAAAGGTATAATACTATTTGTAGCTAGGCATATTATAAGCTGCCGTACAATGTGATTTCGCATGATTTCATTTCGCCTGCGGAATTCCATTTGCATTAATTGTATTATCCCACATATAAATAGGCCTACGGATACTTGGAATAATGCCCTGACTGAGCTGAGCTGGAAGCAGATACCACTTAAAAAATACCACAATAACGAGCAGCTTGATAATGAGTTGCGATTAAATGTCTAGTTGGGGCAGGCCTTCGTTAAAACCTTTTGCTTTTAACTTTGACCTTAGAAACGGTTACATAATACGCAAATTGACATTCGCGGCAAGAAAGTGAACAAGGCGGGGCGCGGGGCGCATGCGTAGCCTTGAGTGGGCGCACGATTTGCCTTAACACCCAAAATGAAGGCAAAGATTCAGGAGATTCAGGAGATAAGAATGAGATATGTAGAGGTATTTTATGTGAATAATTATGACAAAATAATTTTCAATTTTAACAATTTTCAAAACACAAAAATAACGCACAACAATAATAATTTAGTTACCTTTTAATAAATATATTTCCGTTATTAAAGGCAATTTCTAGATGGTTTTTGTTTTCCATGAATGAAATTTTGTTTGTCCACACGACGAACGGGCAAGAAACGAAAACGAAATAGGCGCGAAACGGCTAGAAACTAACTGTAAGGGCAGTTGTGGAGGGGGCGGGCGGGTCGGAGAGGAGGTGGCTATGCAGGAGTTTAGCGCCACGCACTTTATATTACAGCAACAACACACACACACACACACACACACACACAGAGCGAACGAAAGAGAGAGAGCGAACGAGCGCGTGAGAGTTGGCAACGGACGCTTTTGTCGCCTGGTCGAGTTATAGAACTGAGGCGTTCGCTTATGAATTTTGATTGCGTTGCGTGCTTTTATAAACAACACAAATTAGATATATATATATATATATATGTGTGCACAGCTCTAATTAATTTTATTTTTCTTTTTTTTTTTTTGTAATTATTTATATAACACAATTTACTTTTGGTTTAGCACTTTGCTGCTTGTTTGTGTTGTTGGAAAGCAACTGCGTTGCACACTTGCGACGTCCGACGAAGACTGACGATGGCAGCGACGACAACTTCCGCATTTGCCACAAACACCATGAAACGCGCACGTACACGCTGCTGCAGGGGCGCGAGATAAGACGTTGCCCCGTTTAATACGTTTAGCTAGCGAAATTCGGATTTTTTATATCAAATATAGATATATTTCTTTTTAATTATTATTTTTATTTTTATTTTTATTTGATGTTCCACTTTATTAAATGCAATTGTTGTTTGTTGGTTAGAAAGAAGCCAAAGTGTAGATTGACAGCCGCAGCAGCACTCTGAGGGTAGCTTTTTTGTGTGTTACCCGTTTGGCGCGTTCATCGTCATGCAGATGAGCGCAAGCAAAAACAGACAGACACACAAATACACACGCACACAAATGCTCTCTCGCGCGCGCTCGCTCTCTCTCTCTCTTTCTCTATCTCTCTGTCAGCAGCGCTGCAAGTTCATTTCTGTGCTTAACTTTGCCACGTGAGCGCGAGAGCGAGAGAGTTTATGTTGCAATTGCCTTTAAGTGGGCGCGCATTGATTAAGCTAAAGCGCCCAGGAAATATGCGTGTGTGTATGTGTGTGGGTGGCCGCCCGTTACCAAGCAGAGACGACCCCCCCCCCCCCCCCTTCCCGCCTACTAATTAGCCTATGCCACTGTGCACGCTCTCTATCATGCGTATACATACATAAATATAGAGAGAGTGAGAGCCCATTAAGAGGTTTATGTATATCCACCTGATATGCTCTGCCACTGCGCTAATGCTGCAAAAGGCGCCTGCGCATACGCTTAGCATAAACACAAATACAAACAAATGTGGCTGGGTCACTGCTGCTAACTGCGAAGTGAGGTGAGGTGTGGTGTGATGTGGTGTGGTGTGGTGTGGTGTGGTGAGCTCGCAGCCATCACAACAATAGATGGACAATTGCGAGAGAGTGACTGAGAGAGAGAGAGAGAGAGAGAGAGGCGGCTGCTGCTGGCTTGCAGAAATGAACGCTGCACACGCTGTAAATCGAGCGTGAGAGAGCGTGTACTCTCCGATTGTCGTTGTCCTAATTTTGCTGGGGTCGTCGCCGAAGGCTCGCTGACTGTCTAACTAATTACGCCAATTTATAAATAATCAACGAGGCGCACAATTTTAAGGTCCTTGCGCAAGGACCTCACCACACGCAACACAACAAAAATACAAACAACAATTGTAAATACTTAATTACTGGCTATGACAAATCAATGTCGCAGGCGATAAGAAACGAGATTGTAAAAGACAAAGGGAAAGAGCAAAACGGCACAAGCTAAGGACACTCTACTTCTTCTTCTTCTTCTGGCAACTCATCATCTTTTTACATGACTGAACCATGTTAATTGCATGTGTTCTTCGCATCTTTAAGTCCACTTCTCTGTCTCCCTCCCACCCACGCTCCCCTTCGCCCTGTGCTAACGGAACTGGAACATGACCTACATTGAGCGCAAAGCATAAACAACGGAAAGTGTACACAAAGTTCGGACAGCCGGACAATGGAGTGGACAGCTATGCCTATATAATTAATAAATTAGGAAAATATCTCTATATATTATAAGAAACCAAAAAAATTGTTATAATATTTGCAAGTCCCTGAAATCTTTCTAATTTTAGTTAGAGCTATTTGAAAGAACTACTAAAAACTTATTAGCTTAGCTAATATTCTCTTCTTAAAGCTTATTCTTTTGAGTTGCATCTGACGAATGTCTCTGAAGGCTGAATATTGGTCTATTGTCTATTTTAAATGATATCTTAATTCAGTTTATCAACACTGAAACCCAGTGCTTAGAATGCATTCTCTTAGCCTTCTTGAAAATGGATGGTTTATACTTTCTAGACTAAATATATTTTTTCCCATTATCTCCAGATTCTTCCGTGTATGACTAAAGTTTCATTTATTACTTACGTACACATAGAAATGTATTTATAATGCACATAGATATTTATTTCTGTCGGGCAAATGAATCACAACATACCTGCAAGGGAAATAGAATAGAAATTTCATTAATATGCTACTCAAAGTACTTAAAGAACTTTTAATCTAGACAATTAATTTATTGTTGTACAAATATGAAACCCGTTTGAGTTAGATATTGCTAGACTATAAATTTTTTTTGATATTGTGGCTCATTCATATATTTAGCACAATTAACCAATTTTTTAAGTAGCCCAACTGATTGAAGAGCCCCAACTCATGCAGACATATTGGTAAAGCTCTGATAAGATTAGGTGCTTTGTGCCTTTGTTAATGGAAACTACTTAGGAAATGGAAACAGACACAAACTCAAATCTGAAATAAAAAACTGGTTGCCTGTAATTTTCCATATGGCCACATCGCAGTGCATTACGTTCGGACCAGTTCTGTAAAAGGTCGCCACAGAAGTTGATCACGATATGCGATTGGGTTAGCTCTCAATGGAAAAGTTTTTTTTCTTTAGAAGTATCGATATTTTTGTTGGGGCTGCTGTCAGTGTTAGAAAATGTGTATTTACAGTAAACTTTTGACGCGAGAACATATTCAAAATTGTAAATTGTCATTTAGACTTTTAAAATTTGATGTTTTTTTTTTCAAATTCGGATTCCTATTTTCCGTTTTTGCCATACAAATTTAGCCTTTGGCATCATCTATGGATAAATAGACTAACGATTTAAAGAGAAGAGAGAGAATTAATAAGATAGAGATTTGCAAAGAATACTCATTCTAAGGCAAGGCAATTAATATAACTATAAATGCCTATAGAAAGTTGACTTAACCCTGAAATATATGCCATATAAAAAGCTGAATTTCATTAGTTTTGTTTTTGAAGCGAAGGCACTTAAAAAGAAAACTCAATTTTTTTGGTTTTACTATATTTTGGAGCACTGTTTTTCGGCGCCTCTCTCAGCGATTCTCAGGCTGCCAGCTAAAAAGCTCCGTCAGTGCTGTGCAAGAAGGTAAGCCAAAGCTCAACCGTTAAGTCTGCCACTGATAAATGCTGCGCTTAGCAAGCTTTGATTAATTCCATCAGATTTTCCTATCAACACGAAATGCAACAAAGTGGAAACGCAAGATTTGCCCCGGGGTCAATGAAATAAAACGCAATTGCCCAGCGACCAACAAACCAACCAACCACCCCCCCCCCCCCCCCTTCCACCTTTCGCAAGCGATTGCAAAGGTAAGCAGAACTAAGTGCTGCCGGCGAGAGAGAGCGCGGCAGCAGCAGCGATCGGAGCGTAAAAAGTCATCAACACAACTCAAAGTAAAAAAAAAAAGAGGTGAGTGTTGAGAGAGAGCGCACGACAGAGAGGCTGATTGACGTACACACACACACACACACATGCACACATGCACATAGGCATAACAAGGCAAACAAACCGGCGGACGCAACAGAGCGATGCGAAGCAAACCAAAGCAAAGGCAGTGAAGCAGCAGCAGCAGCAGCAGCAGCAGCGACAGCGACAGCGGCAGAGACACTCAAGCGGTTAGCCAGCCGCTCAGTGTGACAGTGAACGTCGTACGTCGTTGTGTTATGGCAGCAGACGCAGTTAGCTGCTCGAGAAGAAAAAACCAGCAACAACAACAACAGCAGCAGCAGCAGCAGCAGCAAAACAACAGTAATAGTTGTGCAGTGAAGAAAAAAGGCAAACGGCGTATAAACTGTGTGACAAAGTGCAAGAAATAAAAACAACAACAACAACAACAGCTACAATTCAAAGAGCAACAGTTGTCCACCACCTGAGATCTCATATTCAACACATCAAAAGCGCAAGAGGAAGCGGATACCGCAAATATGTTTGAGGTGGCCTGCCTAATGTTCATTTGCCCTTGGCTCATCATCGTCTTGCTCATGTTCATCGCCATGACCGTTCTGTAGCGATGCAGAGCGAGCGAGAGAGAGAGAGAGGAGAGAGTGGGAGCGAGAGGGAGGAGCGCTATGAAAAACAGAAAAAAAAAAAAATAGGGCACACTTGCCCAAACAACTGTTTCTCAACACTTTTGGCAGTGTGCCCGTTCGTTTACTCGTTTATTGATGCTTGATTCCTATGCAAAATGTGCTTTGAATTTAACCTAAAGACAAATCAGAAATGAAAAACAAATAAAAACAACTTGTTTTAGTTTTGTAAGTTTGTTGACATACTAAAAAAAAAAAAACAAATATAATTGAAATGTGATTTTAATTTTAATTATGTAAACATTTGTACCTATCTACATATATAGATATATATATATATATGTATATACACACAACTATTTTATGTGTTGCCCTATTAATTAAGTTATATTTTACGCATGAGCAAATAAATACACACAACTGAACACTTATCAATATTCAATTGTCAATTGTCAATTTGCATAATCGCAACAGGTGAGTGCTTGGGATAGGCTCAGGTATTAATGCGGCGTAGTTTAGAGTAGGAGGCAGTGTTGCAAAACACGAATGAGTAATGGTTGAGAATTGAGAAGAAAGGTGCACAAATGTGAAAAATAAAGGCATTCATTTTGAAGGTCAGTTAAATTTAGCCATATTTTGTGGGAAGAACATGTTTCAGGCTCCAAAGTTCACCTTTGAGTGACACTTGTTTGTTCGATCTATCATAAAAAACAGTTCTTAAATAAAGCAGCATGTAGGGTAGTCTTATCTATAACAGCAGTATCTATAAATATGATAAGCACACCGCGGCGCGCGTCTGGAGATAAAAGCATGCGAAAGAGACAAAAATTTGTGTGGCCATTTTTAAGGAGGTTCCACTGTAGCCAACATGCTGTGGGTGTTTGTCTTTGCGTAATATTTTTCCAAGAATTATAATAAGTGCGCGCAAACATTTTTTGCATAAAAGAAAAACAGAGAAAAGCAAACGTTTCCCAGCACTGATTCACACAAGGCCCACGCTAATGAGAGCCAGCCCAGACCCAACCCTCGTATATAATATTTACTTAGGATATTAAGGCGCACAATCTGAGCGGCATGAAGGGGAACTGGGCTGGTTTGGTTGGCTGTAAGGCCTACGCAATTTTTGAGAATTAAATTGATTTAAGGCGTACATAAATGTTAAATTTAAATTCAGAATATTTCAGAAGCTACATAATATTGTGGCTATATACATCCGACATTCTTAAGTGTTCGAACATAACCTCAAATAGGGTACATTGGAAATGTTGCTGGGCGTTGCCACCTGTTGATAATCAAGCTGCAATTTGACATTTTACGCATCCATCGTGAACGAGTCACAATTGCGCGTACTTCAATTTATCAACTCCAGTCGAGGAAAGTGAAAGTTGTGGACAAAATATGATTGCAGATTTACATATATACACACACATATATATATATATATATATATAATTAAGTTTTACACGTTAGGTTACTATAAAAAAATATATTTCAATTTATTATTTTCACTTAACGGCTACTTTTGTTGAGTACATTCAGATTTGCTTCCCGAATATGAACTGATTTATCTAACTGTTGCGGTCGCTTAGCAAACTTCGCTTTGAGAGAGTTTGAGTCAAAATTGAGTGAAGTTTGAGCTGCGTCAGCAATTATGCGTGGGATAGTACTCTGATGGGAACATTGACAGTGGCGTGATATTTAGGGTGAATTGTTTATGTCTACCAAAGGGGGACAGTTTGATCTTGACCAATGTCGATGTTATCACCAGGCTCTTTGTTTACAATATTAGAAATGTTTATAATTGTGCTTATGCTTATGTGCTAAGTTATGTTAAAGGGTGGGTGCGACTATGGATATGTCACTCCCCCAACCATTAGAAAAGTGCCTGTCCTCAGGTGTTTAAGTTTGGATATAGTGTAACATTTTCTTCTTTTACAATTGGTATATCTCCTATTATTGTAGGTGTTTCTTCTACTTTGGGTTTTTTATATTTTATAATTAATTTCTTAGGTATGCTTTTGAACTTATATGTCAAATACAGTGTTAAACTTATTAATATGATTACAAATATGGTTATTGTAATTATCTGGAATACATTGTTAAATTTTGTATGTGCATTTATAATTTGTTTCGTTTGTACAAACGAAAGTGGTTCTAATTTTATAACATCATTGCTTACGTAAATGCTTTGAGTATAATCTAACATATTGTTTGAAATTGAAATTTCATTAATTTGCAATGAACAATTAAAGATTTTTATTATATTGTCTCCTTCTATTGTTATTTCGTTATTTATACAATTATGGTTTAATATAGTTTTTGGTAAATTCCAAGTTAAAATTATATTTGGTTCTATGTAGTTGATTTGAAAATTTTGCAAAATTTTAGTATAACTACATTCTGATGTTATTTGGTTTAAAATTCCTGTTAAACATTCATTATTAATTAATTTTTTTGTTTCTCTGCTATAAACTTTTTTATCTTGGGTAAAATATTTTTCATGAGCTATTTCTGTCAAAATATTATTATTTTCATCCGGGTATGGAATTATTTCGAATACCGGGCTTTTTATTATTTCTCGAGGAATATGGGATATTATAAGTATTTCGTTTGTATCTGATTTAAACCAAGTGGAAGTTTTTGTATTCAACAATTTCTCAGAATTAACATGCAACAAATAGTCATGTTTTAGTAATTTTGGGTTAAAAATTCCTAATCTTGTGAGCTGCATTCCCATCTCAATGTCTTCTATATATTCTGTAAAGTGTTGTAAGTTAAATATAAGGATATCTAATTTCTTTCCTTTTTGTTTCTCTTGATCTAGTTCGTTCATGATTTCTATTCCTTTGTTTATAGCTTCTATTATGTAATTTAATTCGTTAACCTGGACGCTGTTTTCTGCTAAGTTGCTTATTTTTTGTTCAATTTCTGCTTTGTCTTCTTGATCTAATGTTCCAAATAAGTATTTATATGCTGTTCCTACTATGTTAACTAAACCTCTTTTGCTGCGTTTGGCTATTTTTAAGCCGTTTATTTCTCTGTTTAATTTTTCTACTAGGTATTCGATTTGTATAAGGTTATTGAATTCTTTACTTTGTTCAATTAAATTGTTAAAAGTTTCTTCGGTTTTTGTTATATTAACCGTTAAACAGTGGAATTCGTAATCTGTCGGAATGTCTATGGTTCCTGTTTTAAATATGAGATATCCGTTATGGGCTTTGATAGGATTAATTTCAATACTCTGTGCATTTATATGGTTTACAGTTATTGATAGTAATATTATAATAATTAATTTAAGCTGGTGCTTGTATGTTTTGATCGCTGTCTGTTGTTGACCTGTAATTGTTATATTTGCTTTGATTAGTCTTCTTTTTCTTTTTGAATTTGGTTTTGTAATGTGTTATTTTCCTGCCTCTGTTAGTTTCCTCAAAATGTTTGTCATCGATTTGTCTTAGTTCTCCTGTTTTCTTGAACGGGGTTGTCGTCTTTGATTTAACTAACGGTGAGTGTTTGTATCTAGTGTCAATTTCATAATTTGTTCGTTTTTTGTTGAGGTTATTTATTAGTTTTTCTTTATTAGCTTGAGTGTCATACTCTGGTGTACCTGCATATATGAATATGTCCGCTGGTGTTCTGTTAGTCGTTTTGTGCTTTGTTTTATGATTGTACGTGTAGAGTATAGTTTCAAATTTTGTAAGTTTATTTTCGACGTCTGAGTCGCTGTTAATGATTCTTAGTTTTTCGTTAACTGTCTTATGAAATCGTTCTACGTCGGATATACCATTTTTACTAGTGGTTATATTAATATTTACTGCTTCTGATTTTAGCCATAATTGTAAAGCTGTGCACATAAAAGCTGAGTCTTTGTCTGCCTTTATTTCGATGGGTTTACCCATTTGGTTGAACACTTGTAATATAGCTCGTTTGGTTTCTAGCCAGTCTCTACTTTTTATTTCTATTAATGATGCAAATTTTGAATAGATATCAATGCAAGATAAAAATTGTTTATCTCCTACTATGTAAAAATCCATTACATATTTTTCTCGGATATTAGCGATTTCCGGAGTTATTTCGAAAGTTAATTTTGTATCTCTGTGTTCTGTTTTTGCGATGTTGCAAATCTCACATTCATTTATTAGATTTTGAATTAAATTTTGATAATCTGGGAAATAGTGGGTTTCTTTGAACCAATTGATAGTTTTTTCAATTCCTGGATGTAATAATTCTTTGTGCTTTTTTAATATTAATTCTTTGAATTCTGCGTATGTTTGAAGGTCTATTAATTTTGTACTAGTTTTCATTGCCTTTGTTGAATTATTTGGACTTATTATTTCTAAGTAGGCTTCTTGAAAAATTGGAAAATCTGCTTCGTTGTGGAAGTATAGCACACTTTTCTTTGTGCATAAGTATTCTTTTATTAATTCTTTGGCATGCGTATTAGTCATGTCTTTGTACGTAATTTTTATGTTGGTTTTGTGAAAGTAATTCGTAACTTTTGTTTCGTTCTCGGTTCCTTTTTCAAATTCTATTTGTCGATTATAATAATTAAGTGGTCTTTCTGTGATTTGTAAATGGTTACTGTTGTCTTCTTGAGCACTATGTATTGTTGCTCTTGTGCTAATTGTATCTTCGCCTAAGAAGTTTTCGTTTAATTGAATTCTGGACAGAGCATCTGCCACATAATTTTCTTTTCCTGGGACGTATTTAATTTGGAAATCAAACTCATTTAGCTTGATCTTCCACCTTTGTAATTTCATGTTAGGTTCTTTCATATTATTTAACCAGACGAGTGGT